CCCAAGCCCCCTTTTAAACTACTTGAAGCTTAGGGCTGGTCAATGCATATACTTGATTTTGTCATTTCCCTGCAGGTCTTTGTGAATGCCTTTTTTTTGAGAATGAAAGTGACCAAAGTCACTTCTGCTTCTATTGCCAGCTAATATTCTTCACATATAGACTTGCATCAAAATAAGGGAATTAATTTTATTTGTGTTTTGTTTTGGTGCAAATATGAGTGTAGAACCCGCTGTCCTTTACAGAGAACTGCACGTCCCTGTCTTGTGAACGGTTACTTTTTCAGTCCTCACACATTTTGTTGTTGGAAATGTTTGTTTTGTTGTTGTGGCCTTGTGTTTAGCTTGTGTTGTCCTGGAACTTGTGGAATAACCCTTGCCTTGAGGGTAGAGTTTTCCCCAAGATCAGCCACATGCTTGACCTACTTTTTGGATCTATACTGTTTCTAGTGTTTGCAAAGCCAGTACTGCATGGTTTCATTGTCACCTTGTACATTTTGGTTCAGAGAATGTTGGCTCCCTTTATCAGGGTCTCTTTGTTCCTCCAGAGCCCTGAAGATTACGGAACTCTGGTCTTTGGCTTCTTGGGTCTGGAACAAGCTTGTCAGCCCCTTCCTCCCAATTTCCAGTGACTCAAAATGCATGGTGAACATTTTTGCCTGCCTTCCTCACATTTTCCTTTTGACCTGGCCTCACCTTCATTTGTTCGTCACAGTCCTAGCCTACCTCACTCATTCAGTCTTCTTTATTGTAGCAGTTCTTAAGCTCTGGGGTTTCTTTTAGTGTCTGTCTGTATTGCTGAAGATTGTATTTCCCTTCCAACCATACGTGAAAGAATATTGAGTAGGATTTCTTTAAGAGTTTCCCTGTGCCTTTCCTAACTTACCTGTAAAAGCTGTTGCTTAGTGTACATGTCAATGCTGCCTGGACCTCGGGGGTGGGACCAGGAACCTGCTTGGAGGATCTTGTTGTACAGTGCTCTAGCCAGAGGAGCTATGTGCCTTGATGCATCTTAATGGTATTTCCACATACTTCACTTGCTGAAATGTTTATTATTTTTCACAGGATGAGGCTGTGAAGGATACATTTAAACAGCTACAAAAGCAAATAGGGTTCTCTCTGGATTCTTCCCAGACATCAAAAGTGGTATGTAAAATGGACTGAGTTTGAATGAGACTGTTTGTAAAAGGGAGGTAGAGTTTTGAAAATTGTGAGAAAAAGCCACTTCTGATGGCACGAAAATCAATTACTGTATTTTGAAAATTACTGTGGGGGAACCTAAGTTCAAGCAAGTGTTAGAGAGCACTGCTGATTACCTCTGATAATCACCACACCATTCATCCTGATAAGGATTTAGGCCTTAGCAAGGCACTTAGGCATGAGTTTAATACTAAGCACATAAGTAGTTCCACAGACTTCAGTAGGACGGTTTACATGTCTGGAATTAACCATGTGCCTACATATGTTAACAGAGCAAGGCCTGAGCAACCCAGGTGCTTAATATCCTTAGAATAACTTATGACATTAGTACAAGATTGGAAGTTGCATGCAGCATTGTTACTGGAAGATATCAAGTGGGAAAACTTAGAGCAGGGCTGACTGGGAAACTGCTTTTGAAGGGGAAAGAGGAGACAGAAAGAGGGCTATGGACAGCTGCCTGAGGCTGTCATATGCTACTGATGGACTGGGAGGGAGGCTGCTGCCAGTCATGTGCTTGAGATGGCAGTTTAAAGACCATTGCACCTTTAAGACAAGGAGCTATTTCTGCGTTCCTGCTCTTGTCAAGGTGTTTTAAGCTGTGTGTAATGTTGCTTATAGTTTCATAGTTGGTAGGCTCAGAAGGGACCTAAGCAGATCATCAAGTCCGACCCTCTGCCATGGGCAAGAAAGGATGCTGGGGTCAAATGACTATCTAGCCTCCTTTTGAAGACCCCCAGGGTAGGGTCAAGCACCACTTCCTTTGGAAGCTGGTTCCAGCTCCTAGCCGCCCTGACTGTGAAGTAGCGCCTCCTGATGCCTAGCTTGAATCTACTCTCAGTCAACTTATGGGGAACAAGGACTCTCCCATTGCCTGCTGGTCCTCCTTGGCAAGTTTATAGGTGGCCACCAGATCCCCTCTCAGCCTTCTCTTGTGGTGGCTGAACAGGTTCAGGTCCCATAGCCTCTCCTCGTAGGGCCTGCCCTGCTGCCCCCTGATCATGCGAGTGGCCCTCCTCTGGACCCTCTCCATGTTGTGCACATCCCTCCTGAAGTGCGGCGCCCAAAACTGGACGCAGTACTCCAGCTGCGGCCTAACCAGCGTTGCATAGAGGGGGAGGATCACCTCCTTGGACCTGCCTGAGATGCATCTGTGGATGCAGGACAAGGTGCAGTTGGCCTTCCTGACTGCGTCCCCACATTGGTGGCCCATGTTAATCTTGGAATTGATAATGACTCCGAGATCCTTTTCTGCCTCTGTGCTGACGAGAAGGGAGTACCCCAGCCTGTGGGTATGGTGCTGGTTCTTCCTCCCCAGGTGCAGCACCTTGCACTTGTCAGTGTTGAAACCCATCCTGCCCTGTAACCTGTCCACATCTAGTTGTAGCCTGTCCCTCTCTTCTAGCGTGCCCACTTCTCTCCACATCTTAGTGTCATCTGCAAACTTGAACAAGGTGCTTTTCACTCCCTGGTCCAAATTGCCAGTGAAGATATTGAACAGTGCGGGCCTGAGGACCGAGCCCTGGAGAACCCCACTGCCCACATCCCTCCAGGTCGAAAATGACCCGTCCACCACCACTCTCTGGGTGCGGCCCTCCAGCCAATTTGTGACCCATCTGACTGTGTTATCACTCTAAGTCAGAGAGACATGACTTGTTGCGGTTTCTTGATTACATTTCCTTTGCATCATCCCACAACATACTCATCTGATTGGTGTCAATAAGGGAGAAACCGACACTTGAGGGGCTTTGGAACCAGGACACATAAGACTTTAAACAAATGTGATTCTTCCAAATGAAAAGCAGATGATCAAAAAAGGGAGAACTAGTTTTGGCCAATATGGGGAACTGTGGGCAGAATGATAAATGCTCTTCTAAGGATTGTTGAACTGGCAATGAAGAGGTGCAGGCTACGTTACATTTGCAGTAAATACATTCCCCACAAAATCTCAAGTTTTTCCAGCGGGCATGGTACTTGGCCTCTGCCTTAATTTTGAATGCGTGCAAAAACTAATGGTTAGGTATTTGTAATTGATTTGTATAATCATTCTGTTTTTTAGCCAACTACAATGAGAAAACGTCTCCATGACAAGGAAGAGGAGTCTGGATCTCCCAAGCGTGCTTTTCCTTCCACGTCATTTAAGAAACCAATGTGAAAAGAAAGGAAAGAAAGAGACTTTCTTTAATTGCTGCTTTCTCCTTTGAATAGTTTAGATTTTTATAAAAAGTATTTTTCTTAATAATGAAATAATGGATTTGAACTAATCATTGGTAAATAAAAATAACTTTGTAAAAATGGCATGATCTTTTCATACCGGGGAAACGCAGGCAAAGTATCACCAGCTTACAAACCTCTTTCTCAAGCAAAGGTGGTGGTGAGGTCAGCTCCAGCAGTGTTGGCCCTCACCTGTAGACGGGGGATCTCTTTTGTTCCGGTTTCCTGCCCTTGGCACGGCATGGAGGTGGAGTTTGCAGCTTCAGGAGGTGATCTCAGTCAAGTCAGTCCTGAGGCCACCAGGTGATCTCAGTGCTCAGAGGTAAAATGGACATGCTAGTGTTGCTGAACTTTGACCATTGATACTGTTTTGTAATGAGGTGCTGCCCATCCACCTGCAAGAACTTACTGTAAGGATTTTCTCTTAACTGATGCAGTCCTTCAAAGGATCCCGGAGCATTTGGTAGGCAGCTGCTCTTCTTCTCCTGCAAGATACTGCTTGAAATGAGCTACAGCCATCAGTCCTGTCGCTTTTTATTCAGACCTCCAGTGGACACTAAGATAAAATACCACAATTAGATGGTATGTTGCTAGCTCTCTCCTGTTTGAGAAACTGTAATATTTGCATTAGAAAGAACATGAGTAAGAGGGGATGTGATAACATAAAATAATAAATGACACCGAGAAGGTAATTATTAAGAAATTCCTAGTTGTGTAACAAAGAATGAAACAAAGCTAGCAAATTCAAGACTAATTAAAGGGAATACTTTTTCACTTGACATGTAATTAGGATGTGGAGCTTATTACCAGTTGTGTCAAGACCCAGGAAGTAGTAACGTTCAGCGAGGGATTGGGTGCTTTGGTAGAAAGTCTAGAGTTACAACAGTTACTGTAAACAGATTTGGAAGGAATGGAAATCTCATGAATTGGAATTTAAACTACAGTGGATTAGGGATTAAGACGAGATGCTCCTGGGGCAGGGCAGGTTGGCCTATGTCTGTGGTGCAGCGGTGCCCAGAAATTCTGTTCTCAACTCTGCCTGCCTGCTTGTCTTTCCTTGATACGGGCTTAGTCAGCGATGGCTGAATTTGACCCAATAACGGTAAGCTGGTGCTTCAGCCAGACGGCCTGGAAGCTGCCACCTCCGTGGCTGAGCAGAGCAGAGCAGCAGGCCACAGCAGGCTCGGTTCCTAGTTCCTGTTGGCTGCCCTCGCTCCGCGTTCGCGTCCAGGTTCTAGTTGAGTGCTTGATTTCACATCCCCGGTTGGCGAGTTTCCCAGCGATTGCAGGGCCCATCCTCTTTCTCTGCAACTTACTGTGTCACCTGCGTTTGTTGGCCAGTGTCACGTTGAGCTCGGCTCGACCTGCTTTTATAACGCATGGCAGCACCGCTTGTTCTTGGAGCGTTTCCTCCGCGACCTTCTCCGGAGTCGGCCATTGTGGCCTCCCCCCAGCTGAGGAGAGCGCCTGCTGGCAGACCGGGCCGAGGGCAGAGGCGGTAGAAGTACGTTTATTACGGCCGGCGTGAGCGGGACAGCGTTGCGTCTTCGCGGGCTGTGACACGACGGGCTGCTGCAGCCGGGTTTGTGATGCTGGGCGGGTGGGCGCTGACCCCGTGCAGCGGGTCCGCCACGTTGTGGGCCCGGGGGCGAGGGCGAGCCCGTCTTTCCGTGTGGAGCGCGGGGTGCCTGGGCCGTGTCTACCCGGCACCGAGCTGTGAGCGGGGCAAGG